TATATATTAGGCAAAAAAAAAATATATATATATACATATATTATAATTGTGAGATACAATGTTCTTACGATATATATATTAAAGAAGTTAGAGAAAATAGAATGTTCTATAGCAAAAATTTAAAAATAAGAAATTATAATTACTATATACTACTTTCATTTATTCCATGGGTAATATATATTGTAAATCATTATAAGTATATTTATAATATTATTATAAATACATATATGTCACAATTTATTATAAGAAAACAATTAGATGATCTTATATATTAAGGTGATATATTTAATTTTCAGTGCTCAAAGAAAAACCATTTTTATATATGTTAAACTTAGATATTCTATTTTAATTAATAACACATGTATACTACATTACTAAATTTTGTAATTACAAAATCTATAAATTGATTATGTTATATATATTTAATACGAACTTTATTCATAATTGCACTCTTATATCTGTTGGATTGGATCCATTAATTATGTTATCTTGTTATATTATTTAAACTATATTTATTAGAATAAGATATATATATTTAGTTTTAACCTGTATTATTTTTACATATTTTTAGATAAAACAAAAAATTGGGGCATAAAATATATAAAGTTAAAGCGTTTTTCTAATTATTATAAAAAATATATAAATTTAATAATGTAATCTGGAATTGTATATTTTATGAATATATTAGTATAATGCTATTATAAATATTATTTAATTAATTTATATTATTATATATCAAATTTAGTATAACTAGCTTTTTTGAATTTTTTTTTCATATTTTTCATGATTTTCTATAATATTATTCTACATATAATTAAGAAAATTTTAAAATTTTTATGACATATTTTAATAATAATTTAGTTCTTATTATATAAATATATCAAAACGTATTTATTTGTACATTAATTAAAAGTTTCTCTGCTTCATAATAATATATTCGATGGATGACCTAAATGGGTTATTTAAAATATAAATAATAAAAATAACAATTTTTTTATATATATTCATCATATTTTATTCTCTAATATGATACATATAAATTGTTCTGTAGGTATTTTATATTTTTTATAATTCTTATAACAATATTCTATTGTTTTAATTAGATATAAATTTTTTTCGCCCTTTATAATTAAAGTCTTACAAAAACAGTTCATATTACAATTTAGTATACTTCTATTTTTATATTAGAAGTAATAATATACTATAACAGTTAATTATGCCAATATTTTTACTGTATCCTTGTACTTCATGGTAATCACTAAAATTTTCTTGTATTATAAGAAAATATATAAAAAATTACATTTAATTATTTATCATGCATTATGTGGTAATTATAATTTTTTTTTAATATTATTATTATTTTAATATTTTATTCTGTTTTTTATGATATTTTTTTTTCTATTGTTAAAAAATTCATGCTTTTAATTTTACTTTGTAAATGAAATTATGTTAAATTCATTAACAGTAATCATGTGTCCTTCATGTATAGCCTGTGTAGGAATATCCTATATTGTCCTTATTATGAATAAAATCGTTGTGTTTTAATTCATACGAATCCATTATATTGAGATGGCATTTATCTTTTTTATTCCACATTTTTCTTAAATTTCTTACTGTTCGTTGCAAAAATAAACCATGCTGAGTATGATTACAGTGAAGGAAAAATTTGATATATATAAATACACTACTAATTTATTGTGATTTTTTCATAATTACATGTAATATAAATTTTAAAGAAAATATATTATAATATATGTTTTTTCTGTTTAATCTTATACAATAAAAATGTTATCATTAATACAGATAATGATATATTAATTAAGGTTAAAATAAAGTTTCGTGAATTTGTCCATGAAGCAAGGAGTTTCATTCTTTTTTGTACCTGCGGCAAGTATGTCATATTTTTATTTTCAAAATTTTATATCCATTTTCGAAAACTCTAAATAATTACATTATTATATGTATTTTAAAGTTCCACGTATTTTTTTATAACATGTAGTATTTGAAGTGCACTTATTTCTATTTAATGTAAATTTTATATATAGGTCATTGAGTTCATTAAATATTAAATATATTTTATCGTCAAGATCTTTGTATTTGTCAATGCAAATATTATTAACATTCTTAAATGAATTTTTATTGATTTCGTCATTCATTACTTTGTAAGCGTCTTCAGTTTTTTGTACAGAGTTTTGACAATCTTTAAGTAGAACTTTTAATATATAGTTAAAAAATATGCAACTTGTTTTTATATACTGGGAAGATTTTATACTATTTATATAGTCTAAATACAGTACAAGCTTTTTACATTCATATAAAAAGTTACAGCTCGTTTTGGAATTGGAAAATTTATTTTTAATATTTATACACAATCTTTGAAGATTAATATCATTATATATCTTTGTTCGATCATTTGTATTATTACAATAATCATGAATACAATTTGGAAATATTTTATCAATATCGTACTAAAAAAAAGTCATATTGAACATGAAACATTAAAATAATATTTATGGAAAAGTATATTTTCCTATGTATATACACATAAAAATATTTTCAAATCAGTTAAAGCAAAATATAATTGATATTAATAATAGGAATATACATCAGGGTCTAGTATTATTTGGCTGGGTATTGTGATATATTAGGTAAATTAAAAAAAATAAAGTTTATATTTTTTTAATTATAGATGTATGTATATAAAAGTATCACAGCACAAACTATAGTTATATAAAATATGTTTTAATATGTAATACAAATATTTAAAAAGTTTCTTTTAAATATATACTTTTATCTGATTATTCATATATACTAAAATATAATTTCACTATCGGTTCCTAATAGGGAAGGCAATTATTCATATAAATATAAAATATGAAAAAAACATATATAACTGTGAATTTATGATACATACAAGATGATAAGAAATATTATTTGTATTATTCTTACATAGATATTGTTCATACAATAAATTAGTTATTGATTACAATAAACTACGAATTATATATATTCGTATAATCAATATTTTATATCATAATACATATTTATGTCTTTTTTTGTATACATATATTTAAGTAAATACTTATGGATAACAAATCCTTATTTTTATAAATTTATTATATAAATATTCTGTAAAAATTTTATATCCATATTTTATTATTGAATATATAACATATAATATTTGTTATTTAATTTGAGTACTAAAAATGAATTATACATTTATATATTAAATCAAGATCGTAATATGTTTATAAATTAAATATTATATAATGATATATTATTTTTGAAATATAAAATCATTTTTACTTATGATGTCAAAAATATAAACGTAACCCATCAAAATTCTATTAAATGTTTTTTGAATTTCATAAAATTAAGATAATATAAATATTTATTCATCAATTGTTTATATCATTGATCTCAAACATAAAAGAGACAACACAATATTAAAATAAATTTAGCTGTATATATTTATATATATAGATATTATATAGATCATGTCTTTATATTTCATCATTATATAAAATTATTTTTGTCGAAGGCACAATGTAATTTGTCATTATAACATGTATTAAATATTTTTTTATTTAAAATATATATATAAAAATATATATAATTATAAATACATTTTTACGACAAAATCCTTAATTTACATATATATAGCATAGACCAAATAAAGAAGTATTTAATATAATAAACATATACTTTTCTAATATTATGGTACATTAATAAATGTATCTTTAGGAAAAATACAATCTTTTAATAAAATTAAAAATAATTATCATAAAACTAAATCATATCAATGAATAAATATCTATAATTTTTTGATACTCATGATTCAAGGATAACTTATTTTTTTTATCATATGCAATATGTATTTTCCTTTTCTTTAGACTATCTTATATATTATATTTATATTTACATAATATAATCAAACTCTCATATGGAATATTGAATAATAAAATATTAAAAATATCTATTTGATCGTTTAAATAAAAAGGATTAATGATAAAAAAAATTCTGTATATATGGGGATGCAACGTGCAGAATAATATATTGGTATGTTCTTATTTTTTATATTAACGGAATGTTTTATTTATATCTCAATGCAAATTATATGAAAATATAAGTAATATACATTTTACGTGAAAAACAATAGCATATATTAGGTTAATTTTATTTTTAATAACAAATTATAAAGGAAAAAATTATTTGTATATTGTGAGATATAATGTACTCGTATTATATTAGAATTAAGGATTTCCTTATTATATAATTATGGTCGCTGAGGACTTAGGTTTAGGTTTTAGGATTTCATATATACCTTTAAGATTTTATAATTATATTTATTTTTACAATTTGTTTTATATCTTTACGATTTTTTGTGTTAGGAATTAGCGTTAGAATTATAAAAATCTATATTATATATTTAGGTTACACTAAATAATATATATATTTTTTATTATATTTTTATTATAATGTTTAGTGACATGTGTTTTCATGATTTATTAATTTTTATATATATTATATTAATTATGAGGAGAATAATTTTAATATAAATATGTTTTATGTAGAATAGATAATATACTTACGTTTATATATATTCTGTTACTTTAGCTTTTTTATTATTGAATATCTCTGTTTGATATATTATATGTTAACATTGTTTTATTGTAAAAAATATATTATATATAGAAATTTACTTCTACATTTTTTGGTAAAATTTATATTCGTTGTTTTATAATTATATATATTATTAATATATATTTTCGTTGTTATTAAACAATAAATATTCTTACATCTACTTTATTTTTTAATTTATAACACTATTTATTTATTAAATCTATCTATTTTTTATATAGAGTTATTTATAATAATGTATGAGTATGTTATTTATTTTGTCTATATATTATATAATTTGCAATAAATACAGATGATTATTTTTTCAATAATATTATAATTTAAATTTACTCTTTAATAATTCATATAATAAATTATTAAATAGCGTTGTAAAATTTATTAGAGGATAAATAATCTTTTAAAGGAATCATTTCTTTAGAAAATAGTAATGAATCATCCTTTATTATTATAATTTAACTATGTGATATATTAATTATCTGTACGTTTATTCTCTTTCACATTTACATTAAATATTAAATAATAATATAGCACATTAATATTATATAAAAAATATAGATCTCATTTTGCATTAATTAAAAGTAATAAATGTTCTAATATATATATTCTTATTCATTTTTATAATGAAACATATATAATAATATATTTTTTCCCACAACCACATACTCCGATGGATAATATTAAGTAAAATAATTTTAATTGTATTAATAACAGATTAATACGAATGAATAGATATATATGCAAAATATATAAAAAAATTATGGGTAATTTTTTCTTTAAAAAAATATAGCTGACCATTCATTGTTATCAGCAATACTATATTTTTCATTGGTATACCTAATAGTTTTATTAAATATATATAAGATAATATAGAAATAACAAAAATGATAATTAAAAAAAATAATAATATACGAATGGTGCATATTACAAATATTAAAAAGAATAAATTATTAATATATATATAAAGAGTTCTATAGACAGAAATATGGTTAAATATAATTCATCTTATAATAAATATAACAATAATGTATATTCATATAATAATAAAGATACATATATACAATATGATAAATAATTATATGATAACAAGGAATATTAACATTATAAAAATAAGATAATCAAATTATCATTTACGTACAATATCCATATTTTACATACTACACATAAATGATAATCACAATATAAATACTATTAAATTGATCATTATAATATAATTTTATATAATTATCATTAATATAGATCGAAGAATTAATATAAAAACAAAAACTATAAAATAAGTACAACAACAATGAACAGTTATTTCTAAAGGTAAAATTTAAATCTTTTATCCTAAACATAACCCCCAACACAGGAACTCTAAAAGCTGAATACATAAATAATCTTTTTTACATTTATCCATATATCATAATAACAATATAAGAAATAGCAAAATGGAATTCATTAGGTATAATGTACTTACACATATAACATGAATACT